TGGGGGGGGGGGGGAGAGGAGGGGAAGGATAAATTTCACAACAGGCTGATCTGAGTCATACAGTTCATATTCACTGTCCAGTGCAGCATTGTCCCCTATGACTAGTGTTCACATTTCCAGTACTCCTCAATACACTATTCTTCCTAGTTAGCCAATGGTCAGTTGTACAAACAGACCCTTTTGATTGCAGAGGAGGGTGGGGAACAGCAGTCAAATATGTGGATTGCTGTTCTTAATCCCAAAAGATACACCTAGTAGTGAAAGTACTAGTCCAAGTTAGTGGATTACTGTCGCTGCTTGAAACTTACTGTACACATATTCAAGGTTGTTGAAAACCCTACCTGAAATATGTTACAGGATTATAGAAGTTCGGCCTTTTTTTTAAATGTGATAGAAATGAATTTGATCTGGACATGAATCAGTTTTACTAAGATACCACCATGGATACCTATATCCTCAATACCTTGAGACCAGGTGCTCATAAAGATTGTTTCAGAAAAGATTTCGATGAAATCTCTTTCAAAGATCCATAGATCAGAAACAAGTTCTTAGATCCACATTTATGCAATAAACCATAATATCAGTTTCACACCTCTTGAGATGGGATTAAATTTCCTTCTTCGTATATCGATTACAGGTAGAATTACCAACTAGTATGTATTATATTCTCTCTTTCCTTGGAGAGGTGCTTGTGGTCTTGTAAAGAGGCGCGTCCACTGGTAGAGCTGTGTATGAGAAGCTACTCCACCCTCTTGGTAAACATGGAACCTGCTGGGAAAGGAGGGGCTAATTTGTTGATCACTGTGCTATATAAATTGAGAGTGATTTTAATCTTGAGATTTACATGATGTGAAATGTGATTTACTTTAATTGAAGGGGGGGGGGGGCATTTTGCCCCTTGACTTGCTCAGGTGAAGGAATAGATTGGCAGTATATAGATCTATGTAATGTGGAATGATTTAGGCTCTTTAAGTTGTTTGCCTTGGGTTAGATTTCACCAGTGCTGTTGATCAGGATGATGATACGTGTGTGTGTGTGTGTGTGTGTGTGTGTGTGTGTGTGTGTGTGTGTGTGTGTGTGTGTGTGTGTGTGTGTGTGTGTGTGTGTGTGTGTGTGTGAAAGCTAACATTCCTATTAAAAAATCAATAAGATAAATCCGTCATACCCAGCTTCATCAGTGAAAGAAAATGACAACAATTAAACATACAAAAGGAGTATGTGTGAGTATTATCAAAATGATGATTTAGACCAATACGAAATATCCCCTGAACAAGTTCGTAATATGATCAGATTGGATGCAACAAGCAGCTCAGAGTAGTACTAATAGGCAGCGTTGAAAGACATGCCAGTATGTTCTCTGGACTGGCAGGGCGTAAGATGTTGTGATCTTTAAAATAACACACAGCAGGTAAATCTCTCACCTGGAGTGATAGTGTATATAAAGGATATGGATAGAGCAGGTTCCAAGGTTCATGGTGAAGATGATTAGCTTTGATTGATATGCGGTTATTAGGATAAGGTTCATTGCCTCTAATCTTTAATGGTGGGAGCTTTGTTGAGTCATTTGGAAAGAATTTAATGTGGGATTTATCCGAAAAAAATCAGATCCAGTTTCACTTTCCAGTTACAATTTGATTGTTATCTAAAGAAAATGCTGTATATGTTTAATAAATTTTTCTCCTATGAATAGCTATGATGCTGATTAAATGTGAACTGTTTAATAGAAAAAAAAAACTGCTCTGTGCTGTCATCAGCAGTTCAGGTACATACATAAAGGTTATCATAAATTACATATTTTTGTAGTGAATTTGAGACAATTTTTCATGAAATGTAAACAAAATTAATAGACAATAATAAATAAAACTTAATTCTCAAATTTTTGTTGAATTTCGAGGCCATGTTCTGTTCTGTTAGCAGTTGATAATTTAGCGTCAGCTCTCAAGTTTAGTTACAGATTTTAGTAACAGATTTACGTTGAGTTTTAGTTACCAATAAATAAACAGTTAGAAGAAAATGTATAACTAGCCAAAGAAAAAAATTAATAAATGAAAAGAGAGCTGAAATAAAAGTGACAGGTCTTTTTTGAGTTGTTCTACAGGTAAAAGTAATAGAACCTTTTTGCAATTAAAATAGCTATTCATATACTCCTTCAAGTTAAGGTAGATGGGTTTTTCAGGTTTATTTGCCAAAAACTAAATGGTATTTTCAGCTGAGATTTTAAACCAAAATGTTCTTCAAGCTCTTGATTTTGTCCAAGGTTACTAAGTAATAGCTTCAAATATTTTAGCTGTTACATCAAATTTGCTATTTTTGTGTAAATTGTAGAACCATCATTTCATTTTTGAGTGAAGTTATTATTGCAATCTAAAGTGAACTGTTTTAAAACTGCATGTCAGAAGAAATTTTCTTACTGGGTCTATTTTAACCAGTATCAGCATTATTGATATTATTTATTAGCATCATTTGATATATTTTTATTTTTCTTTTTCAGCTGGCAGCCAGAGAGAAAATTTCCATTTAAAGATGTCCGTTTAGCCCCAAAGAATGCTGGGAAGACTGATTTTCAGCCAGGAGATGATGTAGAGGTAGGTGAATGGAGAACAAAATGTGACATCATACATACTCCACTAACTAGACACTTGATGGCCAGGTTTGGACGTGACACGTCTACACAGGGGGCGCCTCCTGTGCATAAAATTTCCAGAGTCTGTTATGACTGTAGCCCGCATGTACTGCATTTAAACTATTGTGATTTAATTGGCCCATATGGGTAGAAGATTGAAGTGCTGCTTGTTTTTTGATAAAGAGGAATTACAGCTAGTTGAGAGCTGAAAGTGGGAGAGGATGCTTCCTCCCCTCCCATACACCCTGGATGCAACATTGAAAAGGGTTGTATTTTTTTCTGTGTATCGCTTTTGTATGTATTTGTAGTAAAACACTCAGGAATAAAAATTTCTGCAATGTATTTTGATTCTACAAATTTTTTAAAAAAAATTCTTTTTGACATCTTCAGGTTTTGACCAACTCCACGGAGGGCGAGCCCTGTGGCTGGTGGCAAGGACAGGTCAAGATGACCAAAGGGGAGTTCTATGTAGTGGACTTCGGTGGATATGGGTCAGCCTTTAATGAAATTGTGGACTCTGATAGGATCAGGCCTGTTAATAAGAGGTATCACAGTCTTAAAAATATTAACATAGTTTGAATGTGTGTGTGTGTGTGTGTGTGTGTGTGTGAGAGAGAGAGAGAGAGAGAGAGAGAGAGAGCGCACAAGGGTGGATCAGTGGATGTATTAGTAACTGAATCAGTAATCAAGTGGTAAATATATTGATAACATTATGATTGAAAAAAATAGTTAAATGTACAGATAAATAAAAAAATTTAATGAAAGATGTAAGAAATAACAAATGGATGTTGAATTTATTATTAGTTATTTATTTAATACTCAAGCTAACAAGAAACAAGCGTAAGCATAAATGCACAAATTGCTCTCAGTTTGAAATTTTGTGAAGTTCTTTTTGCCTCTTATGTTTGAGTCCGTGCAAGCTTGCTTTTAATGCCAGTAGTTCGTGATTTTGTTTTTGTCTTCTATTTCAGTCCACCTATAAGTAAATCAACATTTTTTAAGTGCCACATAGATGTTCCAGAGGATCTCGTAGATGTGTAAGTATAAGTTTTAAAAATTGTGATCCATGAATTTGAGTTCAGTATTTCTAGTTTTTATTGTAAAAATACTGCATCTTGTAAATTTCACTCGTCTTTGTCTTCGTTTCATAAAGACTCAAAAACTAGATTTTTGAAACTCAGAAACATCTTAAATAGATTGTTATTCTGTGCAAGGGTATGACTGAGGTATCTTTGGCCATTTAGGGAAAAGTGTCGATATTTCCTGAAATATGAAATGTTTGCTGTTATGTAAAGGTATCTTTGTGTGTGCCTCAAAGGCTCTATTCCCATAGATTTTAGATCGATCTATCCCCGCGGGGAGTCTCACTAGATTACTTTCAGATAATCCAACTTAAATGTCCGTCCCGCCTACTACAAGATGTAAGGGGGTAATTAACTTTCGTGTCCACCCAGCTGACAGCTATTTAGCTTGAACCCCCAGGGAGTTAGGTCGATCTAAAGTAGGTCGATCTAATCTATGGAAATGGGGTGTTAGAGATATGAAGATCAAATATGGCGACCCACTAAAAACCCGCCTAATTCCTGATTAAACACTGAATAGATTCCATGCAGGGATTATGCAACAAGCTTTCAAGTTGGTTGGCCATATTTGACCCACGGAACCATTAGTCTGCTGTTCTAAGTTATATCAGCGTCCTTTTTCCAAAACGCTGACTTGGCTCTCACATCCAGGGCCCGCTGTGCCTGGATTATTACTCTGCGCATTATAGTGAGAAGCAAAACGGTTTGTGGGCTTTTTTTCATGACAAGAGTAATTTAGGTAATGAGATTTCTGGTGGCAAGTAGCATTCAAAGTAATTGGGGTGGCGTAGAGATTGCTGCAATCTGCAAGGGAAATGTTGAACGTTCTGTTATGTAATAGGATTTAACAAAATATGTGCCTGCTGATTTCACGTATGTTGGTTGATATAATATTAAGGCACATTCAAAATGGCACTGACTTAGACTGTTAACATTCCCAGGGCAGTCCTAGAGATTGGTGCTGCTTTTAATGCAGGGTTTAAAAGCATAAGTTCTGATTGGATTCATGCATTTTCAAGTGATGTCAGTTAATGATACCAGTATTATGGAAATTGAAAAAACAACTTCAATTGATAGAATTTAAGAGAAGAGTGATTTTATTTATAGCTCTGGGACAAGTATGGAGCATATTTTTAAAGAACCATAATTAATATTATTATAATAATTGTTATAATAATAATTGTTATTAGTATAATTTTTGTTACTGCTGTTTTTGTTAAAGCTGTTTAAATATTGTTTGTGATATTCCTTTCAGATACCATGATGAGTCCATGTTCAGGGACTACAAGAAGGCTTGTGGTACCCCTGTCATCTACTATAGCCCTGAAGAACATGCATTAATAGTTATAGTAAGTACTCAATAAAACAGAACTGTGTTTATCATAGAGTCTTATTAAAAGGCGGATGGGCCATGTTTTATTGTCTTTATTTTGTTTGACCACTGTGTTAAATTGGACCAAAGTTATTATTATTGCTTTTATTTGATAAACTGATATATATGGTCAACTACTTTGATCAACTTTTAGACTTTTAACTAGTAAATGTATAATGTTTACCATGAGAAATGTTAAATATTTAGCTGCTTTTAGACAAACATATGATTGATTTGTTTCAAGATATTGATGGGGCTAATATGATGTTTGATATTTCAAATGGCTCACACATCAGATGGACTGAGTTTTCTCATACAAAATTGAAAAAAAAAAGAAAAAAAAACTTAAAATTTACTTTGTTTACAGGCCCTAAGTGAAGCTACACTGAAAAAAGCAACGCTACTTAGTGATATGCACTTTAGAAACCTACGCCAGAAGTTATTACTCAGGCAAAGAACTGAAGAGGCTGCCAAAAAATTAGAGGTAAGTAGGTTTATAGAAAGTTTGCCATCATGCTCCATTACATACTACATGCATTTTACTTTAAGAAGTTACAAAATAGTAACAGAAAACTAGTTTTTCATCTCGGTTTCCTGTAACAGTCATTTTGTGTGCTTGGGCACATTAATAAAAGAAGATCAATAAAATTGTATGGAAATTGAACCTTAACTATTCAAAATTGAAATTGTGTGGGGACATAAGATTACATCAAAATAATGTTTGTCATGTTAATTTTATCCCTTAGACATTCCAAATTAACTTGAATTAAATGATGATAGTCATAAATATTCAAGTATTTAAAAAATTTAAATATTTACTTTTTGATTTTTAAAATTGGGGGTCAATTTGAACACATATTGAAAAAAGGAAAAAATAAGTAAAGTTTTCATGAAAGTGCATTAACATAACCTCTACATTTCTGAAGGAAAAAAATTAGAAAAATGAAAGAAAAAATAAATGAGCAGCTAAATTGCACTATCTTAAAGGATACCCTGCATCAGTATAATTCTGAAAATTTTCCCTCCAGAGCACCAGATTAACCAAGTGCAGTTACAGTGAGGAGTTTTCAGTTCGCGAGGATCTCATGGGTCTGGCGATAGGGACGCATGGCGCCAATATCACCCAGGCCAGGAATATCCCAGGGGTGTCTGGGATAGAATTGGAGGAGAAGACGTGTACCTTTAGGGTGTTTGGAGAGGTAAGATGACGTTTATGAATAAAATGTATTTTTTTTTTTGAAAAATATTGAAAAAGGATATTATATGTGAGTGTTTTGACATGTAGATGTGTAAAATTAAAGGGTTTGGTGAGGTAGTGGAAAAGTTATGAATAGAGGTAACCCAAGGTAAATAATTTTGTTGATCTTATGCCTAATGATGAGATGAGAACCGCAGAAAAATTAAGTTTGGAAATGACAGGATGTAGAATACCTGAACAAGGAAAGCAAGAGACATTTTGACCTTCTGTTCTGGATTGTTGACCTGGTAATAAACATATTATGTTAACGTTATCTTTAAGGATGAAGGAAAGCAAAAGATTTGTCCTTTTGTTAAAGAATGTTTACCTGGTATATACCATATTAAGTTGACCTTATCTTTCAGGAGGAGAAGTGTGTTGACCTTTTTTTTTGTTGGTATTGAAGTATGTTGACTGTGAATTTCAGGATGAGGAATCAGTAAGGAAAATGAGATATGTTGACGGTGATTTTCATGATGAGCCTGTAAGAAAATATGTTGACCTTATTATGTTGACCTCATTTCCAGGATGAGGAGTCTGTAAGGAAAGCGCGGGGGATGCTGGAGTATGCTGAGGAGACCCTACAGGTTCCCAGGGAGCTCATAGGTAGGGTCTGCTGGGGTAAAATTGGAGGAACCTCATGGGATTATATCTTATTTTGGCTTGGAGTAGGAAGAAGATGACATAAGCTTCAGTTTGAAGCAGAATGAATAATATTATATACAACATAGAATGAATGATATAATATACAAAAAAGAATGAATAATATATGCATTGACGATCTCGTGGAAAATTTCAAATAAATTTGTTTTGACTTGACATGATCTACTACAGCAGAATGTGCACGATAACTGGACTGTCATAGCTTTTAATCCACAGTACACAAACATTTTATGATTATCATGATTAGTAAAAAAAAAAAGAAAAAAAAAACATCTATTTTGGCCCTTTAACTTCAACTCTGAAACCACATCCTTAGTCATGTTTGCCACAAATGTGCACATTGTTTCATTTTTTTCCCTTCAGCCAAAGTAATAGGCAAGAATGGCAAGAACATACAGGAGATAGTGGACAAGTCGGGAGTAGTGAGGGTGAAGATAGAGGGTGACAGTGAGCAGGCTACCCCACGGCTCGAGGTAACTCACAGCCTTCAGGTGTGGTATTTATTCATCTTCCAGGGCCTTGAAAATCGGTCAGACAAAATCTTTGGGGAAAAAAATTAATCTATTTGGAAATATAGTTGGGACATTGGAGGGTTTTTTATTTATTTATTTATTTATTTATTTATTTATTTATTTATTTATTTATTTATGTCTTTTGAAATGTGATTGGTTAAGTGAATGAATTTTTGTTTGTTTATTTATTCATTTTACGTCTCAGATTTAAATGGTGGTGATGGTGGGATTACAAATTTCTGTAATAAAAAATTCTTAATTTCTTTGTCTGACTGATATCGGGCCCTGCTAGTTAAGAATTTGTTGTTGTCGGGGCCCTTTGTGATAAGAGGTAGAGGAAACAGACTAGGGTGATTGAAGGTTAGTAACACTCTTCAAGAATCCTGACATATAATGTTTGTTGTGAAGTATTATTAAATCTTTTTTTTTGCTTTGATCATTAGTGGTTGGTTTCTCGAATTGCATGTTGGTTTTATATGATGTTGAAAATGAAAGAAAGTGCATGTCTGGAAACATGGAGCTAAAATATCAGGAGAGAAGCTTATTATGGTAATGAATTGTAATTTTATTTTATTTTCTAAAAAGGAGATCAAAGTAAATTTAGGATGTAGAATTCCTGTCGATCATATTATCAAGGAATCTGTGTTATATAGCTGAAACAAGAAGTTGAAATAAAATTGACTATTTTCCCTTTCATTTTTTATTTCCAGGGACAAGTGCCTTTTGTATTTGTAGGAACTATGGAGGCTATTGCCAATGCCAGGATACTGCTGGAGTATCACTTGGAACACTTGAAGGTAGGAAGACCAGTGGGTCATGTAGAAGACCTGGGGGTCATGTACTGTTGGGCTGGAAATGTAGTCTTAAGTTTTATCATTAAATCTTGTTCAGACAGGAAATTAGAAGGACTGTCTGTGTTATGGTGTACTTCTAATAGTTATACCTATTTCATTTTTTTAGTTATGGAGAAAGACATGTAGAAAGTCTCACTCGTCTTAGATATTGCTTTGGGTAAGGAAAGGGAAAGGGGGTGGAGGAGGTGCAGTATGAACTGCAGATGTTTTGTTTGCATGTTGTTAAACAAATAAATAAAATTAAACAAAACTTGGCCTCTCTGGTTCCAGGAAGTAGAACAATTGCGTCAAGAGAAGCAGGAGATAGACCAGCAGTTACGGAGTATTGCAGGCCCGAACCAACCGGGTCCTTATTTCCCTCCTCCAAGGGAGAGAAGGTAAGAGTAGACCAACTAAATGTGGAAGGCGGAAGATTCATTAATGTTGGTTTATAATAAGCATACCAGGTGTGAGGATTTTTGTTTATTGGCAGGTTCTTAGTACATTTTAAAATATGGAAAGGACTGTATTGTGTTTTGTACATATCTGGTGTTAAAGGGGGGGGCATTTTTAATTTTCAAAATAAATCAATAAATAAAAATGAAAGAAGCATCTTTTCATGCACACAATAGCCTCAGTCTCTTATGAGAAGATAACTTCTAATGATGATGATGAGACCACAGCTATAATTGTAACTAAGATTTAACATTCATGATTTTCTAGGACGTTGCCATTTAAATTGCGTGCACAAAACTGTTCAGGCATACTTTGAAAGTAAAAAAGGATAAAAGCAAACAGATGATAAATTGAAAAAAGTAGATGTTCTCTCAGTAATGAATTATTTTCTTTTTCCTCTCCCCAGGGGCAGTGATGACTCGTACCATAGTGATCGTGGTGTCCGTGGTCGAGGCGGTTACCGTGGCGGCCGTGGCAGGGGACGGGGACCGAGACGATGGGCCAATGAGCGCTATGCTTCTGGTAATGAGGTCAAATTGGGTAATTTAAGAGAAGGTCAATTCCTGTCAGTTATATATATATTTTTTTTGTTAATTGCTTTTTTTTTCATTAAACTTAATGGAGGATAAAAACTTTTAGTCAATTCTGTATGCATGAAATAATGTTTAGAATGTTCTTTAAATTTTGTTTGATTAACCCTTTCTAGGATAAAAACACAAATTTTATTTATTTTAGATGGATATATTAATAGATAAGAAATAGAAATTATAACTGCTGCAGTGCTCGAAAAATAAGGGTTAGAAAAAAGCTGTCATATTTTATTTATTGTAATCAATTTATTTTGATTTTTCAAGGTGATGATATGCATCACCCTGTCTCTGATTGGTCAGAAGATATTGGCGATGACCACGACCACCTGTACAACATGGGGTATTACACAGACAGCGCTTTACACCAGAATAGGGGGCGCCAGCGAGGTGGGCGTGGCAGAGGAAGGGGACGAGGGTTGCCTTCTCTGAGAGAAAATGGTAAAAGTTTCCCGATTTTTGTATGACTATTTGTCTGGCTTTTTACCTGCTGTCAGCATGAGAACATTTTTGCTATGCATGAGCGACTTTTTTGTACTTGATTTTATGGTTCTTGCAAAAGTTTTTGATTTTTGCCCTTTGTACGTTATTGTATTTTGGTTAGAATTACCACCAGTCTAAAATGTTCAGATTTTGATTTTAGTATTTTTGTTGACAAGAAACATAAGTTGCACTACCAAATATTTTCATTTCACTCTTTGCCAAGTTGGACACAGAAAAGAAAATCTCACTGAATTCTGAAAGATAGAACACAGCATTTATTGTTAGTGGATTTGTTAAAACTCTTACGATTGCAGAAATTCATTTTAGTATCAACTACTTTTTGAATGGGTAAACAACGAACCCAGAAAAAAAAAATCTTTTTTTTTTTTTTGAAAATGTCATCACTAGTCAGGATAACAGGAAAAGCTCTGTTGACAAATTTTAATGTCTGATGTTACTCATACACTCCTTATATTAATAGATGGGAGAAGAAGCCCGCTCTATGAAAGGCATGTTACTTTGGATGATGTTGACGACTTCCATATTACATGTATGTTTTAGCTTTTCTGGTGTTTTACACTCTGCCTGCTTTGAATGTTGAAAATATGCCTTACAGTGCTAAGTCTAATGTATCAGTATCAGTAGAAAACCTGTGTTTAGCCAGCTTACATGTAATTCTGTCGTTATTTGTATGTTTTTTTTACTCATTTTGGCTTTAGCTTGACCCCCCCCCCCAAAAAAAAAAAAAAAAAAAAAAAAAACATGATAAATTATGAATAATGAAAAAAATTAAGAAAAATCATGAGTTCCTGACAATTTCTCTTTAAAATAAGAGATAAGTAACCACTGCCTGTTTTTCTTGATATGCAATTGTAGCAGTGTACCTGATTCCAATAATTTCTTGTGACTTATTATTGTTGCTTACTAGAATAAATAGGTAGTGTTGCATAATTTAATCTGTCTGATATATTGGTTAGCCACCATAGCATTAGAGTGCTCAACACTAAATTGAAGCTATATTAGTTGTGAGTAAATAGTGTAACATGACATGGTATTATGTACAATGAACAACTGATAACATACAACAAATCACAAAAGAAAGAAATAAACCAGTATATTCATATTTAGATGTTATTATTAAGATCATTTATTTATGGCCAGGATCTTCATGTTTGGTGGCCTGTAGATTCACTTAATCAGATACCCCATGTAGAAGCTTGTGATGTCTGAATTTTTTTTTTTTCCTGCCAAATGTCACATTTTAGATTTGCTCACTGCATCTGTTGGTTTGTTTTGAAGATGTTCACTGTGTTTTCTTCACTGTGATTCCTGTTAAGCTTGAAGTTTGCCTCTTATTGTTTTACATGCACTTTCTGTAGCACGCATTTGGAAAGAATAAGCCTGATGATGTCACTCGTACCCAGACCAGTCAGGGTTTATGTGTTGGAGTACTCCATGTGATAACAATGTGTGCATCTTGTTTTGATCTGCAACATTTATGCTATTTAATTTTGTAATGGGTCTCGCAAATACTATTTAACCTTGCTGATTACTTAGCTATTTTTTAAAAGCTTAATACACTGAATGACTTGTACTTCTCCAGCCATCAGCTTCACTTTTTTTCTCAGAGGCTTCTTGCATTTTTGGAATTAAGTAGTCAAGCATGTGTTTTATAAGCAGGTGTTTTATATGCAATAAATGTATTTGATCCCTGAGACTGCCATATATGTATTTAACATTAACATTATAACATTTAATATCATTATATACCATATATATATCATATTACATTATAATATTATATATCATGTGATTCTGTGCTGTGTATGTAAGATTTACATTGTTCATATTTGTATATGTATTTCAGTATATAATGAAGATCGTGGCAGAGGGGGTGACAGGTTGCGCAGGACTGATGACGAGGACACAATTTTAGACAATCAGTTGGAAGTTTCTAGTGTCACCAGTCAAGACCAAGGTGATTTATTTATTTATTCATTCATTTATATTGATATTATTAATTGGAGATATAATCACTAATATAAAGACGAACAACTTACCTCCATTTCAGGGTTCAATGTTAAGTGCAGCAAGGGATAAGATGAAGTTTATCTGTCACAGCATAGTGTGAACTTCATATGCTTCAGATGAATTCCCTCTCACTGTATAAACTCTCGCCTCCTGAATCTAGGCAGATCCATATTTTTTCGGTATTGCCTCGATAAAACGGAAAGCAAGGATTTATGCTGATATTGAGTGTCTTTATGTTTCAGAGAGTGTTTCTTCATTGGATGGTGGAAGAGGGCGTGGCAGGAGACGTAAAAGACGACCTCAGCGCAGTAGAGGTCGCGGTGGGGGAGGACGAGGTGGAGGTTACAATAGCCAGATGTCTGGCACAGACACGGATACAACTCAAGGTTCACGGGCCGGTTCTGCCGCCAAGAACGTTCCCGTTGTTAACACAAATAGAGGAGGAGGAGGAGAAGGCGCTGGAGGCCAGAGTTTTGACAATAAACCTCCTAGTGCTCCCTCTGGTGGCCAGGGAGGGACTGGTAAAAATTCTGATGCAATGTCCAAGAAGAGTAGTGCCAATAGTTACAACAACGAGAGTTCAAAGGGATCTCATCCGCCTCCTGCCAACTCAAACGGTACTAGTTCTGGTGGAAAAGAGAACAGTAAGGGGCGAGGGGATGGTAAGGGCGAGCAGCAACCAAAGAACAAAAACGATATGATGAGAAAAAGTGAGTCGCCCAAACCTCAGAGAGAACAGCGCGGTGGAGGCGGCAGGGGAGGAAAACGTCCCAATAATGGCGGCGGTTTGAAAAATGGCGGCATCGGTGGTAGTGGTGGGAGTCAGCAAAGCGGCAGTGAGTCGGACGTCAAACCAAATGGGAAAACAAATCCCCGTAGTAATAGTAATAATAACAGTAACAATGCGAATCTAACTGCTGACAAGGTTGTCATGGTGAACGGAGAAAAATGATCATTTTGATGATGTGAGAAGCTTGATCTTCTGTTCTCCATTTATTGAGTATGCATCGGTGTTGTGCTCCTTTCGGAATGTGGACTTGTTTGAGGTGGGTGTGGATTATCGGTGACCCCAACACCTCTGTGACAACATTGATACGAAGAGAATACTTCCCAGTTGAAAACAACAACAGTAGAAATTTCTTAGACAAAAATAAAATTGAAAAAAAAAAAGAAAGAGTGACAAAGACAATTAAACAGTGTCAAAACTGAGATTAGCAGTAGCTATACCACAAAATAAAAGAACAAAAGGACAATTAAAGGACTGGAGTTTAACCAACATGGAAGTTGTCTGACTTTGCCACCAAAGTTATTTTGTTATCATTTAGTCTTGTTTTCAGACTGAAAGAGAACAAGGGTAATAACCAACTTAAATGAGAATACTGTTGTAGATATGATGAGACTGAAAAGTAATTAAGGTTGTTGATTTTTTTATGTGCAGTATGTATAGGTAATATTCTGTAGTTGTTGATACCTCAGGTTCTGAAATTCTCTATAATAATGGACTTTTGGGTGAACTTTACACCTTAAAAATGATAAGAAAAAAAAAAAGACGAAATTTATAGTTTTGCATATGAAGGACTGAATGAAGTAGCAGCAGTTTTAATACATCACAGTTCTTGTTATTTCATCAGAAAAGATTGGTGTTTGAGAGAATTCAGATGTGAAAAATGCAGACAGTGGACGAAAGTCCAGGGTAAAAAGAGAAGAAGAGTTTGATAATGAAATGGCTTCATTGTTAAAGTATTGTTAAAAGCTAGTTGTTGAGTTTTTTTCATAAATGGAAATAACTGCTAAGGCACATGGTGTGACCTGTTAAACTTCTTTTAAAAAGAAACTGGATTACGAAGCCATTGCTTGCTTCGTGAACTTGACAGAAGTCACTTTGTTGTACCCCACCCCTCTGCAGTTTGAAATTTTTTCATTTAGGTATTTATTTTTATTTATTTATAGATTTATCAATTTATTTTAGGTCTCACCCGAAAGTTACTGAAGTGTAGGTTTAAAGTTTACTATATGTAATTTACAATCATGTAATTTATTATATTAGACAGTCTTGTTTTTTTTTTTACAGAAATGAGCCTGGACCTTGAGTGTGTTTTCTTTTTGAGATACTTTGTGTATCTTACATACCAATTATGTCATATTTGTTTCGGGCATTTAACATAGTTTTCCTACCACTGTTTACGTAAGGAGAAATTTTTCTTGTTAACATATCTTTTGCAATTTTGTATGTACATTTATCAAGTAATTAAAGTCATGTTAGTCTTTTTTTGCATAATTTATGATGTTTGTGGGTGTTGGCTTTGTGTAGTTGAAACAAAACAAAACTGTAGATCCATGCGAAGAATGAGTAAAATTATTCCCTGTTGAAGTTTCTGGTTTATATCATATTGCTGGTTGCTGGCGAAAAAACAACTGTTATATTGATTTACCTAATTTTTTCTCTCCAAAAAAGATTTTTAAAAATCTGACTGGTGAAAAGGAAAAAAAGAGGACTTGCCAATGAGTGAATTTTATGGCTTTAGAAAATTTATTTTTCATCAAGTTGATAAAAGTCAGCTTGGAGGCGTATTTAACTTCTACAATTCAGTTTAATTTAAGTGGGAGTAGTCAGGGTGAGGGACATGGGTACAATGAGGTGATTATTTGTAGTTTAAGATAAATATGCATAATCTTGGCAATTTTATTGATATTCACCACTGAATATGACAAGGGCATTTCTGTCTTTTTCCTAGATTTGGGGCTCATACTTAGTGCCAAGTGTGGGTAATGCTAGGCTCACCATTGAGGTCCAATTTTGGATAAATATGAATTATAACATCTTTACTTCAGTATCTCTTTTATTATCCATAGTGAAGGGCCTGTCTTTCAGTCATATGGGCTGTAGTTAAGATTAATAATTTGGGTCCTTGATAAGACTGGTGCATGGCCATGGCTTGATTTTTGACCTGGGCATTTCTTTATCCAGAGGACAGGGCCTATTCTCAGTAATAAAGGTCATGTGAAGGCCATATGTCTTGTGGTAGTCTTGGATATTCATTGTTGGGCCCTTTCTCATTTATAGGGGCCATAGGATAGAAAAGACTAGGCTTAGATTGAGGCCCTGCTGCGAATAGCCATTATTTTCATTATCCATAGTGTAGGGCCAGTTCTCAATAAAAAGGGCCACAATGCAGGTTTCGTTAGCTCTGATGACATGGGCATGTCTTTGATTGTTCGTCGAGTATGGCTTATGCATATAAATAAGGGCCATATCACAGGTTAGGGTAGCATCCTACAGAAATAATTTTTATAAGTCCTACCATTGATGACCTGAAGGGAAAGGGGGGATATTTGCTTAACCATCCATAATATAAGGCGAATTTTCAACAAATTTGGCCATATACATGTAGTAGGGTGTTTGAACATAAGTAGTGTAGTTTTATCTTGGAATCTGTTTCGGATCCCAATGTGACTTGTCATAACATGAGACAGTGATACTCCATAAGGTAGAGCCTTTTCACAATAACAAGAGACGTAGTAGCATAGGTCAAGATATTATAACATGGTCTCGTGTTGTTGCAATATGGACATAGCTACATCATTAAGTACTGAAGCTGTTGCTTAATGAGAGTGGAAACTTAAAATTTAGACACATGCTGAGCGCTTGATAGAAGTCCGCAGCATGTATTTATAATAGTGTATTATTAAATTTTGAGTTTGAGTGCCTGTGTTTTGTTAAATTTGTAGTATTGTTCTCCGTGTTTGCTGTGATAAAATGATCAGATTTATTATTATTACATTCAGTACTGTACTTATTATTTTTTTCCTAGAATTAAGGTTTGAATACAACTTTGCTATTGCTCAGAGTTTTTTGGTTTTTCATCAACTTTGCCTCATACTAGAATATGATCAATTAAAACTAAATATAACATTAAAAAATCGCTGAATAAAAATTATCTAAACAAAGGCAACTTTCCAAACTCCCACCCTTAAATTCAAAACAAAACATTTAAATACATTGCATCAACAACCAGAAATACTCTGAATAATAAGTATTTAATTTAAAAAAAAATTACATATTTGTACAAATTATTCTAGATGAACCTTTTTTATTTTGCAAACATATAACTTGTTTTTTTTCTGCCCTTGTGGAATTCTCTTTTCTGTTCATAAAAATAAATGTTAATAAGAAAAAAAGTTGACTTTACATAACTTGGCAACATAAATATCTGTAATTTAGTGCATAAAGAAGTAAACATGTCTTTCAAAAAATATGACCAGTTTCATGCCCAGCAACTCTAAATGGAATCCTTTGAACAGATGTAAAATGAAACGGCTATTGCGTTATAAAATTCCTAATAACTTGGATAAGTACATGCATCTTATTCGTGGACGGCATCCATGAGTGTTAACATAGTTACAAAGTGGGAAATACACATTGTCTTTCACAATGATGGAAACTGTGGCCCTTCAATAATAAAATACTCCAAACACTGCTGCTACACAGAACAGTGAATCCTGAAATCAAATAAATGAAATAAATGTTTAATGGTTAGGGGTATTGGCTTATATAATAGTTATTCCTTTGAATTTTACTGGAAATGCAAAACAATTTTACCAATGTGCTGACATTGTCCAATCAAAAATGCCTTTTTTAAGTGGCAGCAAAGACTTATAGTGCACCACCTTTTAAGGGGTAGGCCAAAAGATTAAATTAGAGATCATAATTAGTAAGTAATAACATCAACCATAAAAAGCTGAAACCATTTTGTACAGAAACTTATTAATTGGCTTTTATGGAGAGCACATAGTCATGCAGAGACTTACATTCATAAATATGTCCTGTGCGTAATTATCAGTGTCCGAGTCCCATAGACACCTACAACCCATTCTGGAAGAGACCAGACAGATGATTAATTTCATTAAAAATTCAGTGAACAGCATTTTGGTGTTGTTAAGCAAACTCTCCCCCCCTCACAAACACATACACACACACACACACACACACACACATACACACACACACACACACACTAAAGGACAACTGTTTTAAAGAAATAGGATGATATTAATAGTGGGCAAAAGTAAAGAAACTTAATTTACATTCAAAATCTGATTTGATCCCGTATTTTTGATACCAGTTACTCCACCTTAATGTCATCAGGTGCTTTGCCATACAAAAATTGCATTGATATCTTTATACATACTTGACTCCCTCTCCTCTCTGTTCACCTATCACCACCTGTACAATAAACTTGTATCTGTCATAGCCCATGTCTGAAATAGATATTGCAAAAATTATTTAAGATTCCAATTCCACAGGTGGGCCTGGAGGGTGGGGGTGGGGGTGGGGTTAACTAGTATTTGTCATGAAAAGAGAACTGTTGTAACAAGTTAGAAATGTTCCCCTCCTTCAGAACCTGGAAAATCTACAGTTTTGTTTTTTGGTCAAAAAGATTGTAGTGTGCAATATTGATTTGATAGGGTATAAATAAATGTTCAAGCAACTATTACATTGTTTGAGGACTTAAATGCACTGGTGTTAGGAGTACCAACTATTTAACTATATAACCAACTATATCATAAACAAAATAATTCTATTTAAAACTTTATTCTGACTAAAGAAAATAAACCAAGTTTGTGTAAAAAGGATTTGGTATCTATGGATCCTGATCAATAACAGATACCTGATAAACTGATGTAAGGAGATGGATGCAAATGTCTTGAATTGAGAAATGAACATTTCTAAAATTTTTACCTTTGATTTTATTCCTTATGTCATCTGATATTAATTTGGTGAGACTTGTTACTTCTTCAGCATCATAACTTTTGCCTGCCAGTTGTTCATTGAGAACACCATGGATGCATTCTTTGACTATCACAGGTCGAAATCTAGAAAAAATATAGTGAATCATCAAAAAAGATGTACAGTATGAGTTATTTCTGGAAAAAATTAATTTTTATATATATTTAAATTGATCCCATGATTTTTGTCTTGTTTTGTGAATTTATAAAAATTCTTAAGGTGAATCTGCTCAAGGAACATGATAAAAAATAAAACTAGATGGCAACATATGTAATATTTGTACCCACTCACTGAAATAACGTTATCGCCACGAATAGTTTAACACAAAGTATACTCCGATTCAGAGATGTTCTGAAAGTTTATGGAAGCTACGAGTCACAACATTTATGAAAAATGTCTGTATATCTAATAAGGTCGATTTCATCTCGCTGTAAAATACTCTTCTTTCATCTTTCAGACATTGAAACCGTGGAGTACCCCCAACACCATCGAGTTGGTATATGATGTTGTGCTGTTTACAAGTTACATCTCGTCCACCCACAATGTACTTACTTGTGCTGAAAATTCGGCCTTATAATGTACGTATTATTAGACTCTGTTTCTGGAGCTGGTGGTTGAGCTACTTGAGCCATCTCCTAATAATTAAACGACAACCTTTATAACACAAAAAGAAAGACGAAAATAATTTTCAGTCAGACATTTTCACAGCGCCCTTAGCGACAACACCCCAACAGATGGCGCTTTTCCAAGACACGCGCATCAAATAAAAACTGAAGAATAACAAAGCTCGTCTTGGTACGACATCTATAAACAACCGAAAAAGTGACATATATCCTCAAGATGGTAGAAGTTGGCGGCTACCTGGCCGAAGTAAGAACAAAACCGTAACTGAGTACAGGGCAGAACAGGTAAGTTTTTAGTTATGTGGAAATAACAATAAGATCTAAAGGAATAACCCAAGTGGAAATTTTATTTTCAGATACGCTTTTGAAGAGTGCTAACATCGACTAATGTTATCGTGTTCAACTTTCATTAATTTGATTCAAGATTTTCTCATTTTTACGCGAAAAGTAAAATTAATATTTTATGATAAAAAACGTAATAATAATCATTATAGTATGTGAATAAGCTTAATTGAAGCACTGTCCTGTATTTGCATGAAAGAATAAAAGAGTGGAGTATAGCTTTAAACTTGGGGTTAATTTGTGTTTCTGTACGGAAGAATACGGCCAATGGTCAAAATAAGACGTCTTAAATTCTATCATATCAACTTACTGGTGGTTTAATGTTACTCCCTATCTAAAGGCAATTTATAAAGGTGGTACCATACTTAGTACAGATAGGGTGATTTCATACTGGTCAGTTACATAATGGCATAGGATTTATTTGGGAGTATCCATTTTACACTTAAGATATATGGACTACTATGTACTATCATCCATCTTAAGTTTATTGTTTGGCAAGTGACCTATCCATGGTGGAACTGTGGGGTGGGGGTGGGGGTGGGGGATGGCGTCTCATGCCCCCCCCCCCCCCCCCCCCCCCCCCCCCCCCCCCCCCACC